GGTTCAAAAAGTCTTGATGGTGACCAGCTTCTGGATTTTGTGTTGGTTTTAGGTTTGTGTGCCTCTCAGTTTTCTCTGCCAGAATATGGAATTTTGCATGGCAATAGCTGCATATGTATTATCTGCAGCTAATGAAAGCCCTTTAATTCTTTCCCACCACAGACTTCTCAATGAGATGTATTACAGCTCATTGCAAAGTCTTAGCAAGGCAAATGCTCTAGACCAGAGGTTCACAACCTGTGGTACGTTTATCCCCTAGAGTACAATCCAGACCATTTACAAGTTGGCTCTCTGAAGGAGCAATTCGTAAGTTTAGAGAGAATCTTATTACTTTTGAGTTACATAAGTTAGATAGTAGAATGGGTGGCCTAAAGTGGCATGTTAATGATATCAATCGCATCACTGTTGACACTCAAAATGGATGGTCCCAGCTATAAAAAGTGGTGTGACCGACATCATTCCTGATCTGCCCCATTCAGAGATGGCCATCTCAGAGCGCTGCTGTAGGGCTGTCTTCATTGTCCCAGTGCCCTCTGCATACCAGGGTATTGTTCCCAACATGCACAACTTGATTACATCATTAGATCTACCAGATCTAGGAATGTTGGCCAGATTATAATGGAGTAGTGAGATAAGATTAAAAATCAAGTCATTCTTAAAGGGACAATCTTAGCACCAAAATCGGGATCCCCGTGCCGACTGTTTAATATTCTGCGACCCTGAGGGTCTTCCCCTGTCCCCCCCCCTTGCCAGTGAGGAATATCCCGGCAACATCTTCAGGGCTGCGGTGGTGTCCTCTAACAGCTACAAGCGATAGCTACCTTCTCTGCCATGAAATGGCGCACGCCATGTGCCCGCCCGAATCTAGCACCACAATGACCCCTATCCTAGAGGGCCTCAACAGAATATTTCAGGACTTCTGGACCAAACTCAAGTGCCGTATGAAGGCTTCTAGAGGCATGCAGCTTCAACCTACTGCTCTCCGGCCTTCACCATCGGGCACACCGCGAGGCTTCTCTCAAAGTGCCAAGTGAATGATGATCGCATAGAGCAGCGCAATGCGGGGACTACGCCAACGCCGCTTCTGTAGGAAGGGGCCCAGAAATACCACTCATCGGGACTCTGGCAACTGCATGATGCCAGTACCAGACCAGCAGTATGGGAGAATTCATTTCTGCCCTCCTTTCATCTGGACCACATGTCTCAAAGGGACACTGTTTCAAGGAGTCAAACCCTCCCCCCCTCCATCCGAAGGGCAAAGCCTTACCCACGCATGGTATAGGTTGACTTAAACTTCTCTTATGGGCCTTGACCTACATGTTTCCCAACTGATTGAGACAGGTCGCTGCAGCCGCAACTTAATCACCTGCTGATATTACAACTCACTGCATATGTTATGATTCCTCTGTAGTTAATTACTTTTACTTTAACTGTGCATACCATGCATCTTATAAGGCTACAATACACTAGTGGCATGTTGTCTCCTCTTGTTACACACTCAGTATTTCTCATGATAACTTCATGTTTTCATGGCATATTTTGCAGCTTAAAAAAACAAAAGAAGCCGTCTACACTAGGAGCTTATGTATATGTGTATCTGCCATATCGTTGTACTGTTCTCTGCCATGTCTAATATTTTCTATGTTCTGTACCTCTCACATGCCTCAAATAAAAGAAAGATTGCTAAAAAAAATATTCAACATTATTCTATTAGAATGGACATAAATTGTTATTTAGACACATTTTGTATTCAGAATTTTAAATGTAATACAATTTTTACACTTATTTTGTGTGTATTGTTTAAAAAGGAAGATTTTCCTGAAATCGCAGGCTCAAACATGTGAGATGCACCAATCCGGGATTTCTTCATATTATATATTATAAAAACGTGTCCCAGTTTAAGGCAGGAAAAGAGCAAAGACAAATTTATCATTCCACACTGTACCAAATAAGATGTAAAGCGGACTACTGATAGCTCAGTATGGTCTTTGGGAGATATGAATCACACTTATAGATATGTAAATATATGGAAATCTCTGCACTAATATAAATTTAGAATATGTGGAAAAACAGACGACGTACATACATATACAGGCTGCTCTAATTTATACTGGAAATATGTCTGTTTTTGTATGTCTGACTATTTCGTGCTGGTGTTATAACATCATTCTTTGGAATGCAGAGCAAATGTGTAGAGTTTATATAATCAGGGAACAGTGGGTATACGTTTTTGGCGCAAAATAAGAAAATGGTTGGGACCTGCATTAAATTTTATTTAATAGTTTCCCCCCGACAATAAGGGATCATTATGATCTTAATGTTAACAGGTAAGTTCTAATTGCTCTTGCTGCTCACTAGACTTCGTTCTGCAAACACGAATGAATTGATTTGTTCGCTCATAAATTAACAGGCATTTGATTCGTTCAGGGTAGCTGAAAGCGGTTTGTGCACAAGTCTGCTCTTCACTTCACAGTAATTAATGACACTGTGTAGTTAAAAGCAAGTGTGCAGGGTAAAGACAATTTCTTTCGAAATTTTGCTACTTTGTAGGTGCCAATAAAGGGATCTCTTTTATACATCAAAGAGTTCTGGATTGCATGTTTATATACATGTATCGAAGTATTGACAGCTAGCGTAGAAGTGGTCCTTTGCACCCTTGGAAGATTATATATTTCTATACTAAGGTGGGTACCACACTATTTATTCATTAGAACCACAGGTAAGGGGGATGTTTAAAAAATAAATAAATATGATTTAGTTTTTCACGGTTTACTCTGTCTATGTAGAACTATCACTGAGCTAAATTTTCATTTGAAGAATGGGCCATCTAGCTAATATCATACATACAATTTGGTCCCTGTGTAAAGGTCAGGATAAGAATCAGTGGGATACTTTGCATTCTCTTCTTAAGTCCGTTGGTTGAAAATGTCTCTTGATGTTACGGTGAACTTACCTTTAAGCTTTAAGTGCTCTTCTGAAGTTCTCTGAATCCGAGAAAGTCACTTCTACATTTCAGTTTCTCTGTTGTCCAAACTACAGTAGACACAATGTTTAAAGAGAAATTCCAAGCACCATAACAACTTATGCACATTGGCCAGAACAGGACTACATCTCACCTGGTGCTTTGCCAGCATTGTGGCGGTAAGAGCATTATGGGAGATGTTTCAAAGGTTGCCTACCCTTGGAATAAGGTATTGAGCAATAGTGCGTGGATGTTTCCGGTACCTATCCCCTTGAACCCAGTTGCTTGTAATTGCATCAATTTGCCGAAATCAATGCTGCTATAAACCTACCATATTTGTCACAGATGTGAGAGGCAAAAAGTAGGCTTCATCTTCCGCACATATATTTTTTATGATATGCACATGCTGCATGGATGTACAATGTTCAAGTACCTACCTCCTTTGTGAGAGATTTTGAGCAGCATCTTTAAGCTTGAAGCAGTTGTTGGTGGTGGTGGCCACATTCTAATCAGGGCAGAGCTCACTGTTGCTGCTGCATGCCTTGAGATTTGCAGCAGCTGCAAACATTTAAAAGAGGAACATATTACTGTCTAAGATTATTGTGTTACACTCCAAAGCTGCAAATACTTCTCCTGCCAACAAAAATATGGTGCATAACTCCCACTAATCTTGATTAGACTGGAATATAAATACATTTATCTGCATTCATGACCTTTCCATTCGTGAAATATGGGACTCTTACAGGGGTACTTGACCGTCCAATTACACACTTCCCAAAGAGAAGTCTTTGCAAGGCAAGTACTTTGAGCAATTGCTGCCTCTTTAAGTTTAACTTCACTGAGCTAACCAAACCAGGAAGTAACTAGACTGGTTGTCTGACTGACAGCCAAGGGGGTGGAACCAGGTTCATTTATAAAAAGTGCTGATTTCTATTGAAATCTGTACATTTTGTAAAATGAGATAAAAAAAAGAGGACATATTATTCACACATATAGCACTTCAGCACGTGAAAGTGCTTTAGAGGTCTAGATGTCCTCAAACATGATCTGCCTGTTGAAATAATGAGCTTATCGTATAATATAAATAATGCATTATCTTCCAGCTTGGATTTTGTTCTCTAAGCTCTGCACAACATCCAATGACCGCATTCCCCAAACAAAAATATATATGTATTATACATTAATTTTAACTTTTTGCTTTTCAATTATTTGTTAACTTCCTACTATCAAGGCTTTTTTTCAAGTTTTTACTAGTGAAAAAGTTAGCAGTTGTATGGGTTTTAATTTTTTTTTAGAAGAGGCAGGATTTTTTGCATAACGCTGAATAAAAGTCAAAAGGTTGTCTTTGTTTTTTTGTTTGCAGATGGAAGCACTACATTTACAAGCTGCTCTGAGTAAAACATCAATTTCAGAAAGTAATTTTACCTTTTTTTCATTGTTATAAACACATAAAAATAAAATTTTATACCTTTTTTTCTTTTGACCCTATTAGTGCCCTCCCAATGTCAGATATAACTAAACCCTGAATTGATTTTGTCTTAAAAGAAAATGATGAGTTATACATAATTTGAAGAGGTTCTAGAATTATTGAAATTTTTGGCATATTTCCCAATATTGTTCTTATTAAATAAAAAAAAAAAAAACTTGGTCGAAGTTTAAGAAGGTAAAAATCAAGTTGGCTATTAAGAGCAAAGTATTTCCCTATATTTGTAACATTTTACAAAGTTTGAAACCACTAACTTATATTAAACACAAATAATTCTGTCAAATATATATCTATGTTTACATAGGATCTAAATATTATTCAACTGTTTATTGGTTGGCAAACAAGTTCACTTTTACAACAGATATTATTAATGAATTCATTTACTCTTGTAATCATACAAAATGGATTAAAAATAATAATAATAAAAAAACATTTCTGTGCTGCTATTAAACTCGCATAGTGATATCATACAGTAAATTAAAAATAGAAATATAATTCTTTCAAGGGATACTCCTGTAAAACTGTGCAATTATTTCTAAGACGTGTGTACTTGTTTAATATTACATTATTTTTAATTTTTTTTAATTTTACCCAAGTATTTTGTTACTTATATGCATAGCACATAGATCTTGATAGGCCTTAACATTTAATTTTTTTAGTCCTTCTCTATGTATTATATTGACTAACTGCAAAACACATTTTTATAAGATGCTTATAAAGGAACACTACCACCACCAATGTTACAGGTATTTATTGGCTGAATTGATTATCATTACAGTGAACGTGTCACAACAAGTATAGCTAAACAGATAACAGCTACTAAAGCACCTGATATATCAGAAATGTTATATATTTAATTGCTTTAGGAGTTGTTATAGTCTCACTTACCTCCTCTCTGGCGTGCCAGTTCCCCCATGACTGGTGGTCAGAGTATGTTGCACTAGTGTGTTACACTAATGTATCAGCCTACATTCCCCCATTACTCTCAGGCCACTCTGCCACAATTGTGGTCAGGGAAAAAAAAGCCGTGTTAAAACCTTATAATTACCTAAAGTCGGTTGGGGTGTGCCAAACCGATGTTTGGGCGGGCCTGTAAATAAAGAAGGCCCACCAAGATGTAATTGAATAGAGGGAGTGGTGGGTGGGGTGACCAGTCGACATCAGCCCATTATGGAAGTAGGTTTGAGTTTATATAAGCCGGATCATTCCCTCCCACAACTCCAGGCTCTGCCTTCCCATTTGTCTCTGCTAGGCAGCAATTTGACATTAAAACAATCTGCTAAAGAAATATCTCTGATAGAGGGCAGGGGAACAACCTGTAGGAGGTTCATACTATTCCCCGTGTCAATCAGCTTGTGGCATAGAGTTCTATGTCAGGTGAGGGAAGGACCGCTTTTTTTTTAAAATTTATGTTTAAAATAGACTTTAGCAACAATGGGAGAGCAATCTAGGCTGTGCAGTGCCACCCACATCCTGGGACACTATCCTATCCGACCCTCTAAAGCTACCAAAATCCACCTCTCACATTGAACAACACCGTAAAAATTTTTACCGGTGGTACTTAGTGCTGACCAGACTGCACAAGATCTTCCCCTCCACCTCACCACATTGCTGGAGATGCCACGCAGCAGAGGGCACAATGCACCATATATGGTGGAGCTGCCCATGGCTACTTTCTTACTGGACTGAAGTCCATGCATTGATCCGAGAAGCCACACAAAGCTCTCCCCCATTCACCCCACAGGTGTGTCTACTGCTGGATCTCCCTAGAGAAATGCCCCAACATGCTAGAAAGTTGACCTTACACATAGCCTTGACGGCGCAGCAATTGATAGCAAGGAGATGGAAGTCCACGATCCTTCCCAAGAAGGAAAACCTCGTAGAGGAATTGCATAAGCAGTGGATTTACGAAACCTCCTACATGTCCCTCTTCCCCCCTCTATGCTTTATAGAAAAACTTGGGAGCTTTGGCAAACATGGAGATCTGGTAATGTACCCGGTAAAGCACCAGGGGCTGTACCTCGCAAATAAGCTGCAATGTCCTTAACACACCCAAGTTGCATATGCTTACTCACACCCCCACAGCCACACGTGGGATGCTGATGTTGATATGTTGTCATGTGTCGCGTGACATGCTATTGTGGGGACATATTGTCGCTTTAAATAGACTTTAATTCGTGCTAACCATAGGTCTTGATTTAAAAATTTTGAATAGCTTTTCAAATGCTTTAATATGTTTGGACACACTTTTAACATTATTTAACAGTTTGAAAAAAAACATTTGAAAAAATATTTTTATATTTTCATTTTTTTTATATATATTAGTTTTTTTTAATATAAATTATATCTTTTTCTATATTTTAATCATTTGTATTTTTTTTTTTTTAAGTTTATCCTAAAATAAAATTATTTTTAAAAAGCTTATCCAAAAATATTAAATTAAGGCCATAATATTTAGATCATTTTTTTACACTGTTTAATTTAAAAGTAAGCTGTGCATCATATCATGACAAGTACACCCGGAAGTTCTGTGTAATTCATCCTTCGCAGTTTGCTTTAGTTCATAAAATTAGCAATTATTTTACCTAAAGAAGTCTATATTTTGTAAAAATTTAAGTTTTTAATGGATACTCCTCTGCACGAATTAAATTTTCAAAAATCCCTGTTTAGTAGATATAGCCCCTATTAATCACTTTTAGCTAAGGAGCTAAATCCTGCAACTCCAGGCTTCCAGCTCTCTCTGTATTAGAGGAGTTGGTAAACAGCACCCGATGGACCCAAGTAACAAGTCAAACAATTCTAAAACAGTTTGACTACTTACAATGCGGGAAGTCAGGGCATTTTTGGCACCATAACCACAGCCATGAGTTGTAGTGGTTATGGTGCTTGGAGTGTTTCTGTAAAAATATTTTTTATTTAAACTTTTGCAAGTGGCAGAGAACATCTATTCCCACAAGATGTATAGATTTTCTCTATTTCCAACAAGTATTGTAGAGAATCATACAATCTCTACTTACCTGTCAAATTATTATTATTTTATTATTTATATAGCGCCATCAGATTCCGTAGTGCTGTACAAAGTCAAATAATAATTTGTAGTTACCTGTCAAAGATTATGGTTGAAGATTCTTTTTTTTTTTGGCCAAATTGCCATATATGGCCAAAATAAATGGCAGAGCCATGGTGGCAAACAACCAACTACGTCAGACATGTTTTTTCCTGGCAACATACAAACTCTACAGCTACACTATGAAAAGACCAAGGTAGTAAATGATACCCTAGATTCAGCCCAGGAGCAGTGATAATAAAAGTGACTGAGGCTTTTCCTGAATTCACATTTACCCCATAGATGAATTGAGAGAAAGAGGATGCGTAACTCATAAGACTGATTTTAAATCATAAGACTGATTTTTCCAGAATCTGCCATTATTTGCCCATTATACACATTTAAAGGGACACTCTGCTCAAATTAAAAAAAATATAAAAATCACTGTTTAGTATATATCTCCTATGAGGCCATGTATGTATTTAGTTATGCATTGTTTCATTGGGGAAATATCTAAAAACAGCTTACAAAGTTGTAGATCTCTTGTTTGAAGCCTTTCCATGCCCTCCCCTTCTAAACCAGGCCAGACTTTCTGTGGCTGTCCAATCACAGACTACCTAATGAAGTGCTTTAGGAGTCTGGAGTTTCTCTTTAATCATTATATATTTTCCATCTCTATGATCTACCTGTTATTTTGTTTATTTTTAAGAAAGTAGAACTCTCATCATGGGTGCCATTAAAACACAGTTTAGGGTGTTACTAACACGGTCACAAGGGTTGCAGCTGTTACCAGGTCTGTTACACCAGTGGGCCAGGACTCCCTGTCGACCTTTGCTATGGTGTGCTGGCATAACTTCAAGGCCAGTGCATGACCGGACCAGCCAAACACAGCACAATGCTCCCCTCCTGCTAGAGTGGAGCGCTGGTAGAGGAGGGTCTGTTTCTCTCTACCCTGTGTGACAGAAAGTGCTCACTCAGGGCACATCCTGTGAGATCGGATACCGCAGTCTGCTTGGCCATGCTACATGGACGAGAGAAGGTATTGTGGTGGGAGGTACATCGAGGGGGGTAGGCACATTAAGAAGCTGGGGGGGAGTTACACATCAAGGGGCTGGTGGGAGAGAGGCACAAGGTGGGAAGGGGGAAGAATGAGACACATGGAGCGCTGTGGGGAAATGAGATACATTGAGGGGCTGGAGGGGAAATTGAAACACATGGAGGGGCTAAGGGGGAGAAAGAGAATGGGACACATGGAGGATCTGGGGGGAGAATAAAACATCACATTGAAAAGCTGGAAAGGAGAATGAGACACAGAGTGGGTGGGTGGGGGATGAGACACATGGAGGAGCAGGGGGGATAATGAGACACATGGAGGGGCTGGTGGGATAATGAGACACACAGAGGTGCTGGTGGGATAATGAGACACACAGAGGTGCTGGGGGGATAATGAGACACACAGAGGTGCTGGGGGGATAAGACACATGGAGGGTCTGGGGGAGACTGAGACAAAGGGGGAGGGCTGGGGGGAGAATGAGACACAAGGAGGGGCTAGGTGGGGATGAGACACATGATGGGGCCTCAGTGCAATATTTGCACTGGGGCCTGGTGGTTTCTATAAAGCAAATAGCATTGGTGGCATACGACTAGTGTAGCCCCACACACAGGGAAGTATGAACTATGTATTTTTTTATAAATTCTATTGATTATTTTTATTGAACTGCCATTCTGGTGGTAGTGTCCCTTTACGAAATTGAATGTAAAATTTAAAACTTTGTTGTCTTTGTTTTAATTAACTAAATCATGCTACCGTATTGCTCACCAGTATATTGAAAACATATATTACTCAAACATATTATTAAATAGTGATAGAACATTAAACTTCCACAATAATTCTTTTGATATTTGATATAATCAGTTTTCATCTGAAACGTGTTTAAAGGCAAGTCACTGCCTTGTGAAATTTAAAGGCAAATGGAGAAACCTCTTATTTGGCAGACAAAACACAAGCACAACAGAAAAAGGATTGTATTTGTATCCATTACATTAACAGGGAACATGAATTTCATAGTAACAAAAAGCATACTATATGTGCAGTGCTAGTATCTGTACAGTTCATAAGTCCTTTTGTTTTAACTAAAATTAGTTTTTTTTGTTTTGTAGTCAGTTAATACAGAAAATCAGAAATATATGCATTTAGCTTTTGAATTTAAAAGTGCCTTAAATTTTATTTTTGTCATATGACTATGATGTTTTTTTTTACTTTAATTTCCACAAATATCCATACTGTATTTAAAATAAGTGGCCACAAGCCACAGAAATGGGATATGGATTCATAGTAAACAGTGTAACAAGTTTGCAGCACCCTGACCAATATAATATCAGATGTTTTAAAAGCATTTGAGCCTTTTTTCAATGAATGTCCTTTCCGTTTAGAAACAGCATCAGGGTTGATTTAACAGCACAATTCTAGAAGGCCACAATGAGTGCCACTTTTGTTCTTATTGAGTTCATTAACATAATGAAGACATTTTGGGCAAAGGGACAAAATCGATGGGTAATATTCCACAGACATCCTTTAGGCAAAATTAAAAATTCCATTATTCCAATAAAAAAAGGCTTACAGTTTTTATAACAGCATAAAGATTTAGGAGCACACACAATATTACCACTGCTTATATTAAATCAGAAAAGTAAACCAGATTTTAGGATTTGTTTGATTGATTTTTTTGTTTTTTTTTTTTTTTTTCTTTTTTTTTTCTTTTTTTTTTTTTGCTTTTCTTCTATAGGCTTGTGACTAGGTGAGTTGTTCCTTTGCCGCCTCCTTCCGAGGAAGTTCCATTTTTGTTTGATGGGACTATGAATCCTTCACTGCTTCCTCGGCCTAGTGGATAGTAAGTATGAAGTTGATGTATATAGTTTTGTGTGCCCAAGTTTGGCATGCTTTTATAGTAAACATCATCTGTTTCACTACTTGTGGCTGGCGGGGAATCAGTCTGGGTGTTGCTATTAAGGTTTTCTGTGATAGCCAAGCCAATTAATGTAGGCATACTGGTGTAAATAGAATCCCTTTTGGGTGTTTGAATTTCTTCAGTGTGCTCATTTGTTAGTAAGGGGAAAAAACTCTCACTGTTATCTGGTGGAATCCATCTTCTGTTGAAGTGATGAGACTGATGTTTGTCTGTAATGTAGACTTGTGATGGCAGCAAGGGAACATCAGACTCTTCGTGTATAAGTTCTAGGCCTAGACTTTCGTCATGACTAAAAGAGGTGGTATCATCAAGAATTATTATGTTGTCCTTGTTTATTTTATTAGTGTTGTCCGCAAGTTTGTTCATTAAGTTCTTGTTCTGTTCACTTGACCCTTCGTGATTGTTCATATAGGAAGGTATACAATTAGAAGTCAGTTCCTTCAGAATTTTTTTCTCTAAGGTGGTCTCTTTATGGTTAAAGCCACGATCAATAATTTGTACACAGTCGCTTAGGTATTCTCCTCTTGCAATGCTATAGCTGTTGCAATGGTTACCATTCAGTGGTAGAGTATCCATGACACTTGTATCCCTGGCATTGTTCAGAAGTCCCTCTGAAAAAAAATAAAAATGACAATACGATTCAATGCAGGCTTCAAATTACCCTTTGGAAAACTTAAAAATTTTTTTTAATCATTACATATTTTTTCAAGTATTGATAAATGTATCATCGAGAGCTAAGGATAAAGCAGACTCGGAACTCAAATGTGATATCCTATATTTTTTGAACACTGATTCCTTTCAAATGCATATCCGGTAATAGATTATTTAAAGAAAACACGCAGCCTTTACTGCTTCATGCATTACTTTCACATCTACATTTATAAATGTTTTTCTTTTTGTACCACATAATGGAAAATATAGGTATTTTATGGTTACATAGTATTCTGAATGGTATTATATTTTGTTTGTCGTACATTTTTCTTCATCCTATATATTCCGTTGACTTTATATGTTTTAAATGTCATATTATTGGTGTACACTAAGATGGCACACACCATACTGCACGTATTTATGAGTAATACATCTGCTATTGGACATTCCTCTGTACCCAAACCTCTTCTATTTTCTACTATTTAATTTAATATCAAAGGGACACTGTAGTCACCAAAATAACTTTAGCTTAACCCCTTAGTGACCAGACCATTTTTGAATTTTCTTACCGTTAGAGACCAGGGCTCTTTTTACATTTCTGCAGTGTTTGTGTTTAGCTGTAATTTTCCTCTTACTCATTTACTGTACCCACACAGATTATATACAGTTTTTTTCGCCATTAAATGGTCTTTCTAAAGATACCATTATTTTTATCATATCATATAATTTACTAGAATACAATTTTTTTAAATATGATGAAAAAATGTAAAAAAAAACACGCCTTTTCTAACTTTGACCCCCCAAAATCTGTTATGCTTCTAAATAGTTGCTAAATAGTTTTCTAAATGTTGTCCTGAGTTTAGAAATGCCCATTGTTAACATGTTGTTGTGCTTTTTTTGGAAAGTTATAGAGCTATAAGTACAAGGTGCAACCATTTTACCACCAATCTATGCCAAATAAAAAAAAATAATTGGTGATTTGTTTAACACACATAGCAATTTAAGAATACATGTACGATACAGATAGCCCGACTGACCACAACCCGGAGACAGCCTCAAACCGAGAGAAAGAACACAAGGGTGCCACAGCACGGGCTCTAAACACAGACACTCTTATAAGGCAACCAATGGGGACGGACTGCCTTATCCCGCAACAAAAACTGACCTAGATACATTATATAGCACCCTAACATCGGCTAAACAATTCCTTACGGAAGACACGCAATGGCACCCACTGTGCAATATATCGTAAAACAATATCACCATAGTCGCTACGCCCTATGAGATCACATACCCAATCTGCTCAAGAAAGGCACAAAACAAAACAGGATGCCGGCCTCAAAAAAAAAAACCAAAAAAAAAAAACCACAGGGACCATGTGTTATAAGCCTCTGCGTAGGATACTGCTGTAAAACTACTGACGACACGACCCCACATCCCAAACCATACTAAGTATACAACGCTACCCCTGCGTGGGTAAACTGCTCGCAATCAGAGTTTACGAAATGCCCACCATTACCCAGGTCGGAATGACTACGAAATATGTAATTAGCCTTACTCTTGTCTGTTTGACGTCATCTGCCTCTGTAAAGGCAACAATGTACCCTCTTTTCAAATCTGTTATATGTCTGCTAACATGTTGCATACGAAATAAATCGAGAATGTCCCCCCAAAAAAGAATACATGTACGGAGAACTTTAAGGGTTACTGCCAAAGAACACCCCGATATGTGTTCATCAACATTTTCTGAGTACAGTAATACTCCCCATGTATAGGTGTGTCGGGTTCTCTGGGGGCTAAAAGACCTTATTTGGAGAGTACACATTCCAGTTTTCCAACTTGGAATTTTCTCAGCTGGTCATCATGCACCCATGTCCTATTTGGGACATTTTTGAAGCAGGCCAATATAATTTACCCCCATCAAACCATATATTTTTGAAAAGTAGACACACTAGGGTATTTCAAATGGTGATATTTTAACACTTTCCAAGCACTAATTCTACCACCGGTCTCTGTCAAACATTTGGGTAGTCATTTTTTTCTCACATTGTACTATAGGCATGAATTCTCAGCTCCTGTTATGTGTTACTGACAAAGAACACCCCAATATGTGTTCAGCAACATCTCCCGTGTACAACCGTGCCCCCAATGTACATTATGGGTTTTTGCAAACTTACAGGGGTCAAATGTAGGGCTTTCCCCCTTTCCAGGTTTTACTGAGTGCCTCGACCCCTCGATCTGCCTGATGGCTTCCGATGCTCTGCCTCATTCCCGGGCTCTACGCGGAGCAACTGGGAAGTGATCGCTCTGGGGGGCGTGATCACCCGGTGTTCTCTGCCGGCCAGGCAGTGAGGGGGGGTATTGCAGCGATGCCTCGACATGCCCGTGGACGTACCTGATCCTTAAGGACCGTTTTTTGTCGGACGTACCTGATACATCCTTGGTCACTGAGGGGTTAATGAAGTAGTTTTTGTGTGTAGATCATACCTCTGAAGTTTCACTGCTCATTTCACTGCCATTTAGAAGTTAAATCACTCTCGCGTTTGTTCATGCAGCCTTAGCCACACCTTCCCTGGCTGTGACTCACACAGCCTCCATTAAAAAATGGTTTCACTTTCAATCAGATGTAACTTATTTTTAAAGTTTGTATCTCTTGCTCTGTAAATTGACCTTTAATCACACACAGGAGGCTCCTGCAGGTTCTAGCAAGCTATTAACAGAGTAGGGAAAAAAAAAAATCTGAATTAAACAGCATTTGCAATAAAGGAAGTATAAACATTAGAAATCTCTTTAACCCCTTAAGGACCAAACTTCTGGAATAAAAGGGAATCATGACATGTCACACATGTCATGTGTCCTTAAAGGGACACTATAGTCACCTGAACAACTACAGCTTAATGAAGTTGTTCAGGTATGATCTATAGCTCCCTGCAGGCAATCTAATGTAAACACTACAAAGACCGCGAGCTGAGCTTTCAGTCAGCATGAATGCCGCCCTCTGAAGAATGTGCTCATGTGCGGCAAAGCCGCGCATGCGCACAAGGGAGCAATGACGCTTCCAAATGGAAGCGTCTGATTGCTCCCTGCTCGCGCCCGCCTATTTCGTCATTTTGACAAAATAGGGGGCGCGGCTTCACGAGGCTCCCGGCGCTGGAACCAGGTGAGTAAAAACGGCTGCCTGGAGAGTCCCTTTAAGGGGTTAAAGGAAGTGTTTAGGAAGGCTGTGCAAGTCACATGCAGGGAGGTGTGACTAGAGCTGCATAAACAAAGTGATGGCAGAAAATTGAGCAGTGAGACTGCAGTGACATGATCTATACACCAAACCTGCTTCATTAAGCTAAAGTTGTTTTGGTGACTATAGTGTCCCTTTAAACTTTGATTACCGTGATGTTTAGTAACTTGTTTGTGCATATTCTGGCAAGATTCTATTTACATATACATATATCAATCGTTGATCTGTGAGCTTTGTGCTGTTTAGTAAATGAGTGAATGTGCTAGATCTTTCATGTTGTATGAACTGGCCCCAGCAACACCCATATAATGTATGAATGTGCAGCCCTCTTGGTTTTATATGTATATATTTGGGAGTCCAGGCCAACTCCCTGTTTTTGCACCACTTCCTGTCCCAGGTGCCTAATTTCAGGGCCCTATTTGACCTTGCACTGCAGAGAGTCCAAGAAGGAAGGATTTCCGAAGTGGATTAATCTCAGGCATTAGATTACTAGGATAGGTCCTGACAAGAATTTAGTACATTGACGTTGTGGCTGGCTTATGCAATATATGCAAACTATTAATATCTGTGAGGTTTGAAAGTGCTGTTTAGTGAATGAGAAAAGGCACTGGACCTTGTATGTGTTATATATATCAAAACTTGTAGGGATAAGTCACCTTGTGTATAGTAAACGTTTAATGGTTTGTGGCGATTGATTTATTAATCATGTAATGTTCCCTCTTTGTAGTCTAAATACCAGCTTTGGTTTTTTGAAAATTGAGATATTACTTCTCTTTTTTGCTGACTGCTCGCAGTTTATTGCTGGTCATAGTTTTCCTGTTACCTGTAGCTTGGCCATGTTGCTTTCAGTATAACCACTACAGTTACGATGATTGCTGTGAGTCCAGATTTTACTTTCAAAAAATGATAAAACACATGTGTGTGTTATACATGCAAAATCTCTCTCTTGTTTTGGTTACAGTAGTTATTATTATTATTGCCATTCATTCGTAATGTGTCATTCACCATATATGAGGTTACATGAGGTCACATGCACTGCTTGAGATATGTATGAATCTCCTTATGATCATATAATGTTGTGAATAAACTGTCAATAAACCACAGACAGCATATATACATTTAATGCACAGCTCTATGTATGTTTTGTGACTTGTTTCTTTAGAAACCACAGTCTTCAACGCCTACAATTCATCCCTGCAGCAAAAAAGTGTCACTCTTTTTCAGTAAATGTTTCAGCAAACCATTTTCAACACACAGTTCTTTTTTAGCAATCCAGTCCACCCACTCCACAATCTGATCTGAATTCTAAACAGCTCACGTAGCTGTTCTGTTCACCCTGCTTTTCAAATTTCTCACCTCATCACCTCAGAGACACACAACACAAAACACAGATTCCAATTTATATACAAGCTTGCACAGAAAATGTTAATATATAGTCCCTGACCACAAATATATGGACAGGGACCACAAATATATAATCCCTGACCATATATTTGTGGTCAGGGACAAAAAGTCGAGATAATGCAAAGTCGGTTGTGGTGTGCCAAAACCAACGTTTGGGTAGGCCTGTAAATAAAGACGACCCACCAGGGTAGTAATATGAGAAACAGTGGAGTGGTGGGTGGGAGGAATCAAACATTTGATGGCCCAGGTGAGGGAGCTACCCGATGTTAAAATAATAATATTTATAATTTCTCATTCAGTATATTTGTTGGATCTCCAGTTCTGGTTATATATGTCCCCCCCCAGCAAATGACCTCTAGGCTAAATAACATAATCATGTCAAGAACATACTGTAGGTGAAGTGACAGAGATAGATAATAATATAATTAAATGGTTGATAAAACCATTATTTAATTTATTTATTTTTGAGTGATGATCTGTAATCTGTACAGGGCTGTCATCAAAACTTTTGGGGACCCTTACACAGGTCAAGGCCTGGGCCTCGCTCACAGGGAGTGGGGTGTATGTGTGTAGGGCATGTGTTGTGTGTTATTGTAATGTATGTAATGTGTGTGTTTGCTTTGAAATGTAGTGTATAGAGAATACAATTTGTGTAGCGAATGTATAGGGGATGTATCGTGTGTCTGTGTAAGGGAGAAAATGTGCACATATATTACATGTAGTGTGTGTATAGTGGATGCAGTTTGTTTGTGTGTAAGGGATACATGCAGTTTGTTTATATGTTTGTGTGTGTGTATAAGGGATGCATTGTGCATTTCTATATTTGTGTGTTGAAGGGATGCATTGTGTGTTTGTGTGTGTAAGGGACACGTGTGTTTCTGTGTGTGTGTGTGTGTAAGGATGTATTGTGTGTTTCTGTTTATGTGTATAAGGAAAATTTAGTGTATTTGTGTGTGTGTATGTGTGTGTGTGAGAGAGTTTGTGGAGTAGCATAGGAGCTGAGTTTTGCAGGGGCTGAAAAAGGGAGCAGCTTTTTACTTTTTTAATATTCTTCTTTTTTTTTTTTTTTTTTATACAGATTGTTCTACTCTCCCAGATTTTTACATCTGGCAATGGAGGGGGGACAGAGCATTCCCTACTGGTTTGGTGGTGCTGTAGATGCTCTCAGTCTTCACCTACGCCTGGTGAAGGCTGTTTTCGCAAGCCCCAGCACCATGTGGAATCGGACCGTTGGTAACATGTGGCAACAATTTGAAACCTGGAGCTCGTGAGAATGAGAGGACCAACCACCGGAGGTGAAGGTTGAGAACCTCTATACTGTGCATGCTGGTAAAGACCCAGGGAGGGAGATCTTTACGGGGTATGTATACATATTTGTAGTCAGGTTGGTTGAAGTGTGCCAGAACCGACATTCAGGTGAGGCCTGCAAATAAAGAGAGCCTAGTAGGAGAATAACACAATAGAGTTAAAGGGTGAGGAGGGTGGTGTTTGCCCGGGACGCCCGCGGTACACTGTACATATTACAGTACATAGGAGAACGGCAATCCTGATAACTAACTATATACTAATGATAGAGGCACCCTCACGACATGAGAAAACACCGGGGAAGGAATTGCAATGGTGCAAGCCTTCCCCCCTCACAACCTCGCAAAGTAAGCATTGTGGACTGGAAGTGCCGATTTGTCCAGGACAACCCCAGTCCCAAGGTATAGCCATGGGGCAGTTTTAAGGCCGGAATAACCCCTCCCACAACTACAGGCTTACGGCCTTAACATTTGTGGTTAGGAATCAACGGTGTGTTTGTACCAACTACCTACGGCAAAGTTGGTTGAAGTGTGCTGGAACCGACAGTCAGGTTAGGCCTGTAAATAAAAAGGACAAAAGTTTGAATGTAATATTATACATGTACAAAACAACAATTTCCAAACCAAATTACAGAAAGCGTAGTGTGTCCTTTGCACATGTGAAGGAATATATCTGGCATAACCGCTGACTGCCAACGTCCCATGGACTTTAAATGTAAGTAAGAATTATGTGTTTGGAGGCATGCTACCGAGTGCCTGGAGTAAAGTGAGAACCTAAAGTCCCGTTAGATTAAATATGAGCATTGCAATAAGAAAGTTGTAGAAGAAAGTACCAAAAAAAGAAGAAAATAACAAACAAGATAAGCAAAACACCAAAATTGTCAATTGAAACAGGCATTTGTAAGACATCCACCGAGGGTGTGTCCTCTTTGACAGGTAAAGCTCGGTAACAATTACAATTAACAAATTCAAGTTGATGAGTGTCCTATATATGTAATAAGTGGAACATGTGAACTTTGTGAAAGAGAAAGCTCAGTAGCAAATACCAATTTAATGAGTGCATAACTCTTGTGATGGAGGATGCTCAGGAACTAACACTGATTCGATAAGAGCGTAACCCTTTGCGAAAGAGGAAACTTTGTGACAAATACCAATATGATGAGCGCATGACATCTGCAAAAAGAGGAAGCTCAGTGGCAAACACAATTTGATAAGTGTATGTATGACATCTCCGAAAGAGGAATCTCTGTATAAAAAAAAAAAAGTCTGATGAGTGTCTGTCCTCTGCAAAAGAAGAAGCTCAAAAACAAATACCAATTTGAAGAGTGCATGATCTCGGGACAACAGTCACAAATATCAATTTGATAAGAGCATGCACTCTGCAAACGAGGAAGCTCAGTAACCCAATATCAATTGATGAGATTGTGACCTCTGTGATAAAGGAAGCTCAGTAACAAATATTATATTTATCGAGTGTGTGTCTTTTGTGATAGAGGAAACTTAGTATCCAAATACCAAATAAATGAACACAAGACCACTGTAAAAGAGGGAGCTCAGTCATGAAATACCAGTTTTGTGAGCTCATGATCTCTGAAAAAGAAGAAGCTCAGTAACCAAATACCAAATTAATGAGCATGTGACCTCTGTGATAGTGGAAGCTTGTTAAAACAAATATTAACATTTTATGTGATAGGGGAAGTTCAGTAACCAAATACCAAAATTAATAAGTGCGTGACTTCTGTAAAAGAGGAAGCTCAGTAACAAAAACCAGTTTGATGAGCATGTAAAAATATGAATTTTGTGAGGGCAAGACCTCTGCAGGAGAGGAAGATCAGTAAAAAATCAGTTTAATGTCCCCAGTGATAGAGGAAGCTAAATAAAAAATACTAATTTGATGAGCGCAAAACTGAGTGTGGAGTGTGGAGTTTCAGTATGTTTACATGGGGAATATGTTTCTGTTGATACCAGAGGACAAACGAGAGACAGGGTTGGCAGAGGCTGTTTTACATGTGTGGGGGGCTGTATGTTGTGTTGAGAATGTGGAGGTAGACCACTTGAGGTGTTATGTATATGGGGGTAGGCTGCCTGAGTGATGTGTGTGTATTGAGGTTGCTTGTGGTATTGGTATGGAGGGATGCTGTTTGTGATGTTGCATATCTATGACGATGAGTAGGGGGAGCCTGCTTCTGGTTCTTGCCTGTTTTTTGGGATGCCGTTTGTGCTGTTGCATGTTTGTAGGGGTTGGGGTTGCTTATAGGGTTGAGCGCAGATGAGGATATCTGTGGTGTGGTGTGTGGAGAGGGATGTTTGTGATGTAATGTGCATGTGTATGGGCTTTAGTGTGTAATGTGTACGTGAAGGGGCTGGTGGGGGTTAGGTGTTGTACTATGTGTGGATGGGGACTGAATAGGGCTGTAGTGTGTGTATGTAGGGGGGATGGTGTATGTAGTTTGAACCCTGGGACAAATAGATGTTTTAGTGTGCGTGGGATGTTGTGTGTGTAGGGTGAATAGGTGCTGTAGTTTGTATGGTGGACAAATAGAGGAAGTAGTTTGAGTAGAGGGAACAGGGTCTGTAGTTTGTATGGGAGACGTATAGAGGCTTTAGTGTGTGGGGAGACAAGAGGCTATAGTGTGTGGGTGGGTAGGGGCTGTGGCGTGTGAGGGGAATAGGAACTATAGTGTGTATGGTGGCGGTTAGGGGATGTAGTATCTGTAGGGGTGAATAGAGGCTGTATTATCTATGGGAGGAATAGGGGCTGTAGAGTGTATGAGTGGGAATAAGAGCTGTAGTTTGTATAGGGAGCAAATAAAGACTGTAGTATGTGGGAATAGGGGTTGTACTATGTAAGGGGCGAACAGGGTTGTACTGTGTGGGGGGAATAGGAGCTGTAGTGTCTGTGGGGGCAATAGGGGCTGTAGTATGGGGAGGGTGGATAGGGCTGTATTATAGGGCCAGTATGAGGGAAAGTTATGCATGTTGGTCTGGAGCCACAGCATTTGGTTTCCACGTCCGTGGCTCTCTCTGCCTGATGCTCTGTAAAGAATTAGAGCACTGACCGGTAATCCACTGCAACTCTCTGACCCACTCCAGGAAGCCATGCAATGGGTCTGCACCAACTGCACCAACTGCATGGATCCCCTGCAGCATAAGAATGAGGCAATTTTTCATCTTCAACCAGGTGACCTAGGCGGCCCAACTCGCCTAGGCAAAGAGACACTTCTGGGCAGTAAATTTTAAAACAAATGTTGTTACTTCTGAGGGTCAATGCCTATTTACTAGAAGTAGTATGATCTCATCATCACATATTAAGGAGGCAGCTATATCATACTGGATGCAGTAGACAGTGAAATCTGTTTATAACAGCAATGCTACATACTACATAAAAACATATATAGAAATCGATATACTGGATACTTGGCCAGTTATAATAAAACCAATAACCTCCAAGATACTACTTGTAGGGAAATAAAGACCCTTTGGTTCAAATTGAAATGACTGAAAACAATGGGAGAGAGCAGGAAGATGCAGGCATTATGAGAAAGAAACATAGCTTAGTATATTAGAGGCATACTCTATGATAAATCCCTCACATGAGAAAGACTGACAGAAGAGCCTGCATAAGACTGCAGTACCTGCGATAACTCAGTAAAAGTGTATAGTTGAGCCATGAAGGTGTGTAGCCTATACTCGCCCTTTGGTCTGTGTAACGTAGTGTTTCTGGCTAACCTGAGTGTACACATTTTTTTTATCCAGGACGCCCATGGTACACTGAGAATGCCAACCCCTGATAACTGGCCATAGA